TGTCACTCTGCCGTGTCACACGTGCCTCTTCCAGATTCCCCTCTGGGCACCTGGGCAGGAAGACCTCAGGTGCGCCCCCTCCCTCCATCAAAGGGGTGCGGGGTTCCCCTCTTCGGGGGGGCAGGGAAGCAGCAGAGCCCTCTTCCTCCTCCGGCGTGGGGGGGCTGGAGCTAGAGAGAGAAAGGAGGACAGGCGGGGAACGTTTCTGCTGACGTGAACAAGAAGGCATGCAAGTTTACATCAGGTGAAAGATGGTTTAATTTGGAGAAGGGGGGCAATTCCATGCTGCTGCTCCAGATAGAGCCTCCTCGTTTTAGGACCCTTGTGCAACACGCAGGGTGCAAGATTTCTCTGGATTCTTTCCCCCCATCGTCTCCCCGCCTTCCTGTAATTCCTGGCTAGTAAAGCGGATAAGAGTAAGACCCACCACAGCAATTCCCGCCCCCGCTCCCCCGGCAACAGATACCTGATTAGAGAAATCTGTTTGTTGGTTACTTGAATTCGTTTGGATGTCATGCCCCTATAATTAGAAGTCAGCCCCACGGAGTTCCGCGGTGCTGGGTCGAAGCATAGGAACCGTAATTTGAAGAAGGGGGAACCGTGCTTTCCTTGTCTTAGGTGACCCCCATTTCCATTTCAGAAAGGACCGTCATAAAAAGGGAGGCCTCTTTCGGGGTGTTGCTTGGTGCCAGCTGTGGCTTTCCAAGAATTTCTATGAAAAATAATTAATTGGGGGGAAAAATTGGCTGATTAAGCAGGGACGTCTGTTTAGTCAATTAAAGAGGTTTCCACTCAATTATTCTAACCGATTAATCCATTAAAAGTTTATACCCCGAATGATAGCAAAGACAATTGTTATCACTACTAACACTTACGACTGTTACCAATAACGTGGTTACTAATAAGGATCCGGAGCCGGAGTGAACCACGAGGCCGAGTCTGTGGCACCACCAAGTTAGAGCTACTGGAAGGAGAGGAACTCTGTGCATGCTCCCTTGTGCCCCCTTCCTTCCAAAGGAAATGAGGCGGGATGCAAAGGACCCCCCCCCCGCACCGGTTCTTTTGCTCAGCTGTCCCGACCAAGGAGAGACTTTGGAGGAAGCAGCGGTCTTCTCCAGGGTCTCAGGGTCCAGACCCTCCACAGGCTGAACTGCAGCCCTTTCCCCCAGGGGCTTCTCCCCTGAGCGGGCTTGTAATGGTCTGTGCAATTTGGAACCGGTTACAAGCTTTTCCAGGGGAGGAATCACAGAGAGGGGAGTGCTAGCCTTTCACAGGTAGCACTGGGAAGGTCTGGAGAAATTATTTAGGAAGACGGAGCCGGTACAGATTTCGCTGCTGCAAGAGGAAGCATAATTTGGGGTGAAATTGGAATCGTTCCTTTCGCTGCAAAGATTGGTTGTTTTCTCAAAGGCTTCCACTTGACGTAACCAAAGCAAGAGTAATTCTACGCTTCATGTTTGGAGCCCGGGGAATATATCGGCAACGGGCAGCAATCCTCAAATTGTATCTCTCCCCCCCCCCAAAAAAAGAAGGAATGCCACAGGTCCTGATAGCTGCCGTTTCCTAAGAACTGGTTTTGGGATTCTGGACTCACTATGTTTTCCATAGCTCTAAGAAAAGAAAGGCGTTGCAGAACAAGGAAGTGATAAATCTGAGTTTATTACTCAGATGTGGACAGACAATCCATTTGACAGACAATCCGAGGGCCACTTCCCCACCTGATCTTCTTTTAATGGGAAACCACGTTGGCCTTCAGCAGTTCCAGGAAATGACATCTCATCCTATTTATCTCAGCTTCCTCAATCAGGTGCCCCCCACCCCCAGGTTGGCACAACACCCTCAGTGGGGGACGGGGGGAGTTGGTGTCCAACACATCTACAGGGCATGGGGCTGGCGGGCCAACAGGATAGGGTGGAACATGATCTCATAGTTGGAGCACCCTGGGAATTGTAGTTCTGGAAGGGAAAACGAGAAAGACTCCCAAGTGCCAGGATCTGGGGGGAGTGGGGAGGCCAGTTGGGGAGGGTCGCAGGGAGCTTCATGACCAGGTTCATGAGCCGGTCCTCCTGGGCTGCCTGAGAGTCCTGGGCCCGGAGGACTCTCCCACACCCTTGCTCTTCTTCTGCTTTTCTCTTCCTCCCTCCTCCTCTCACTGGCCTCTTGCTTTAACCATGGTGAGAAAGCTGTCCTGTCTTCATCCTCAAATTGCCAGCATCCCCTCGTTTATGGGAAAGAGGGCAGAGAGAGAAAGGGGGGACGCCTTTCCATCATGCTTTTCCCCACTGGGCCAGCCGAGCTGAGCGAAAAGTCGCCCCCTTTGCCCTTCCCTGGTGTCCCCTCCGGCCATCAAGACTCACTTCCCCAAGCTTTCCAGTTGTGGCCACGCTCCTGCACTGGTCCACCCTGCCTCATCCTGGCTGACAGCCCCCATCCTGGAGGCGGTAGCCGCGTGGAGTGCTAGACCAGGAAGGAGCAACATTGGAGGAGCTGAGGACCCCACTCAGCCTCCTGACGTGCCAGAGGGCCCCAGAAGGAACAGGGCAAATTGTGTGTGTGTGTGTGTGTGTCATTCTGGGGGGGGACGACAGGAGGGAGAGGTTCCCGAGAGCCCAGAATCCCAGTTTCCCATCAGTTTGGGCAGTTTGGGGGCTGGTGGTTGAGATGAAGGTGGAGCCCTTTGTCTCCTAGAAGCTTCCCAATTTTGAAGAGGAAGAGAAATGAAAAAAACCGCCCCAGGTACCCCTTTCCTCCTGTCCGTCTTCCCTGCGCCCCTTCCGGGGGAGGGGGCTTACTCCCTTCTGTGGTTCGAGCACCCGGGCAGGAGAGAGCGCCCGGCTGGGCCCTCGGTCTCTGCCAGGCAGGGACCAGCTGCGGGACCAGCCTTGGGATGGCCACAGCCGCAGAGGGCAGCCCCCAGACTTTCCGCCCCGCTGTACTGACCAAGACCACCCCCTTCTGGCTTGAGAGCTCCCTGTCCCTGGAGGCCGGGGGTGTGCGCGAAGGAGGTCAAAAAAGTCAAGATGGTAGCCACGGCAGCCTGATCGAAGCCCCACATTTTTATGCGTGTTGCATGCACAACACACGTCAAAAGGGGGCAGGCTTGCGGTTGCCATCTTGAATTTTTTCAGTAGAGCCCCTGCCTTACCGCAGCTGTCTTGGGGGTGCTCGAAAAGTCCAACTTTCTCTCCAAGAAGATCCCCCAAACTGCACACGCTGTTGCCTGCTTTCCGTTCAGCCCCTCTCTCTCGCCTTCCATCTTCCTCCTGGCAGGATCGGTTGATCGCACGATGCCAGGCAGGAATCCAAGCGGTACAACCTTTTCAACCCATGAATTATCTGGCTGGGGAGATTCCACCGCGGTTGGACTCCTACCTGTCCGTCACCCGTGAAATGCGCAGGAACCCAGCTAGAAAAAGCAGTAGGGCTGGACCCCAGAATCAGCCCCCTCCACCCCCCACTCTTGGGGTTTCCAAGTTTGGGAGAGAAGATTCGTTTCCATCCATTTCCGTATTTAACCGTCCGCAGCTGCCCGATCCCTTTGTTTCCTCTCTAACCAACCTTTAATTTCACAGCTTCCAATTTCTTTGTATTTCTGTGTCATTTTTTTCTGGTGGGGGAACAGGAAAAAAATAATCACGTGCACACACATTATACGCACATTCAATCCCAGGAAAAAAAAACCCTAAAGATTGTTTGTATTTTGCTTAAAAAAAATGTTTTTTTCCCTTTTTGATGAACCAAAAACAATCTCTTTTTTTCTTGATCTTTCTCTCTCTTTTTTTCCCCTGTCCCATTTTTCTTTTTTCTTCTTTTTTCTTGCTCTTAGGTCCGCTCACGAAAAAGCGTGAGGAAGCGTCAGCTAACAATCCCACTCCAGACGAAGGTATTTTTTCTGCATGTTTCACAATCTTGCTTTTTAAAATATTTTCCTTTTTTTTGGTTTTTACTTCTTTTTTTATAAAAACCAGAACAAATGATATATATAAACTTTTGACCCCACCCCTTTTTTCCTTTTTTTGGTCTTCTCTTTGAACAAAAAGCCCCCTCCCCTTCTTGTTTTCCAAAAATCATCATGATTTTCACCAGCGGTTCAGTTTCCTCCCTTTCTTCAGCTTGTCCTCTTTTTTTCTTTCTCCCCTTTTTTTGGGAAGGGAAAAATGCCCTTTACCCAAGTAGGTCATTAGATAGAGGGGCTTAAAAGACTTTTTGTTAAAAAAAAAAAAGAAGTTTAGCTGGTTTGGGAACTGTATGTCAGGAGGTAAAATATTCTTCAAAGCTAACCTATTGTCCTGTTGTAAATTAAGGTGGATTTTTCTGGAGGATTGACCAGGGTTGTTCCCTACAAGACTTATTCAACAGTGAATTTGTAAAAAGAAGAAAGTTGGGGGGAAGAAAAGGGTTTGGCTGGACAGAGAGTCTCTTTGTGTTCCTGGTTAGGTTAGTTTCCCACTTCCCACAACAACTGAACATTTAGGAGCAGCGTTTCCTTCCAAGGGGGCCTCACTTGTCACAATCTGTAAATATTTGAACGGGTTTGCATTTGGTTCCCCTCTGTCCCGAAGAAGCAGAGAAGACAAGATCCCATTTTTCTCCTGAACCCATTTTTGAGAAATCTTGGAGGAAACGTGCTGTGTTGTTTGCTCCTCAATGCCACTAGAGGAAGGGCTGTATGTCCCGGGTAGTAAAGAGGGGGATTGGCCTGCCCGTGGTGCACCACGGAAGCTGCGGCCCTGGGATGATGTGGGTCTCGGAAGCATCTTAAGATGCAAGAATCAAAGACCGACTTTCCAGATCGGAATTTGACCCAGCTTGTGCCACCAGTTGCGCTTCTCCACCGCCTCCATAACCCCTGGACCCAGCAGCCAAGAGGGGAGGTCCAGTTTTCTTGGGAAGTGCCCGCTGGGTCTAGATTTAGAGTGTTGAAACAGGGCAGTGCAGGAAAGAAATCTCCAGGATCAGGTGAGGCTCCCTGCGTGGGGCCGAGGGAGAATGACATGGTTCTGTGGCCTTGGGCTACTTTGCTTAACTGGAAACGGTAGCGCTTCTCGACAGGCATCCTCCCTTATAGCCACTGAAGCAGATGTGATGTGTTGACTCCTAATTCCATGCTGGATGGGAGTAAAAGGAATTGGAGGCCAAATAGGGGGCACCAGAGTTATGAAAGGTAAATGTAGCTCCAGATAGTCTACTCTGACTGCTAGTGACCCTTCAGGAAGAGTCTTCTGGTCCCTGATCTTCAACAGAACCAGCTGGGGCTGAAGTGGAGCGTTTTGTAGGCCAAATGGCATTCTTTCCACTGAGCTGCGCCCGTCCCCAGGTTAAATTTGCAAAACGCTTTTTGAAATGTATGGACCTTAGATTTGTCACTGAGAACACTAAGGAAGGAAGGAAGGAAGGAAGGAAGGAAGGAAGGAAGGAAGGAAGGAAGGAAGGACGGACTCCAAAATGAATCAATGGCTTTCTTTCTACAGGACAATAAAGTCTGGGGGGAGAGGTAGGAATACAAAAAGGGTTCAGTTGATTCAGTCGTTAAATCCACTGGAAAGAAAAGACAGATCAAGTCATGCAGTGGCTTAAACCAACCCCATCCAGTTAGTACTATTGTGGGAATACTTAAACCCAGTCAGTTCACCCATTCTGCCCACCCACTCCTCCAAGCAAAAGAGCAGGGGAGAAAGAACAGCTGGAAAAGCAAGCCTCTCCATTACAGAACCCCCTGGCAAGGCCTGCAGCTCAGAATAAGCCCCCAAATGCTGACTGGCTGTTTTGGTCAAGCTGTGCCTATTGCTCTTTACCTGGCCAGTGGGAGGGGCTTAGTGATGTCATGAAGCCTTGCCAGTACTCTTCTGGCCCAAGGGCTGATGGGATACTGCCAACTTCCAGGAAAACATGGGTGGGAGCATAGTCCCCCCCACAAAAGGATGATTTAACCAAGTTAGTGTGATTGTGCATTGCCAGAAGCACCCAAAAGGAGATTTTACAGAGTTAGCGGCTGATGAGATAAACTGGTTTATGTGACCAGGACTAGAATCTTGCTATTACAACGATGATGATGGTTATCTTATTCAGTGGTTTTGCCAGTTGAAGCTGATGTTTTTATTTGGGGTTAATCCCACTGAACTGGGCGAGGCAGGTGCTCCAATTTTTGAGCGTGGGTGTGGTTTTCGGTCACAGCTGATGGTGAAATGGGACTGTGCAGCCCAAAAGGTGCTTTTCGGCAGGCGGGGCTGTGAAATCCCGCCCCCGCCCCCCGAAGATTGCTTTGTCCTAGGGTTATGGAGTTCCAGCTGTTGTTGTGCCTGGGAAAAGCTGCGCCGGGTTTCAAGAGGTGCAGAGAAACACTCAGCGGTGCAAAGCATCCTTTTGCCTTTCAGCTGGAATCCACGCCGCCCCGCCCTAAAGCACTTGCTCGTTTCCGTGATTTATCTGCCGTTCGTGTCCAAGAAGGGGGCAAGTAAATGGCTGAAATAAATGAAATGCACTTTTTAAAAAAGACGTTGCATAGCCGTTCCCAAATGATGGTGAACGACGTCCCAGAGATCAATATTGTCAACAGGGGGGTAATGGCTGCAGGAGGGAGGGGAGCGTCAGCGGAGACTTATTTCAAAGAGAGCTGGAACATTATGGTGGGTGAGGCAGAAGAGGCGTTGGGGGAATGGCAGGGGTTGAATAGAAATTGGGCCCGGGGAGGAGCAGTTGTGTCCTGCCCTAATTATTTCTTAGTATAGGAGTTTGGGTTGCGTCTCTTTGGGGTCTTTCAACCCGGTAAAGAAAATGATCCAGGATGGTGGCTAATTCCCAGCTATTGTGGGAAGCAAAACCTTCAGCGTACATACTGGTTCGGGGGGTAACAGCATGAGCAGCCCCGATGATGGCTTAGTCCTGTCCTCCCCCCCCCCAAGGCACCACTGTAGATCAGCATTTCTCAACTTTGGCAGCTTTCAGATGGGTTGGACTCTTACACCCACCATCTTCCACCCCACTCGATCACATTTCTGTGTTCTAGA